AGATGACGTTGAAGGGAATGCGCCACATCTTACAACCACTGCAAACAAGAGCACGCAATGAATCAAACTCAGAAGTGAGAATCAAATCTATAGAATCACATTTTCTTTTGATAGCAGCCCCAGCTATATATTGGTAACTGTCATACTACTTGAAACGGAAGACCAGGGAAAAGCGACTGAGCTTAGCGAATACCTCGTCTTTATATCAGTGATGACGGTGTCGATACCCCGTGTTTTTGTCGTGTTTTTGCAGCTTACAGATTAGGTCAGATATATTTATGGGACCGCGCTTGAAACATTTTAAAACACATTCTCCGGAGAAATTATTCTTGTGCCAGCTCCTTATGATTGTATGCGTTGAATAGATTCTCTCTCTCTCTCTCTCTCTCTCTCTCTCTCTCTCTCTCTCTCTCTCTCTCTCTCTCTCGTTCTATTGCCTGATTACATCTAAGAGGTCTCCTTATTTTTATTGAGTGTTTTTAGGGGGGCGTGTTCCTGCTTTCGCCTTTAGCTGAGTCTATTTCTGCTCCTGATGCTCCAGGGAGAGGTCATATAGATAATGTTTTTTTACATAGAAATGTCATACTCTTTGGAATCAACCCAACATTTTTTTTAAAGCTGGAAGAACTCAACTTCATGATGATCTGAAAGAGCTCTAGTTATAAAAATTCGAGGCGAAATAAAACCCAGGTCGCCTAGGTGTTTTCGAAGCTTTTACCGATTACACCAGACGATCACGTCAACGTTACTCGTCCCCAGTGCAGGCTTGTATCTCGCTAAAAGTAGAATGATATTGAAATTATGCTGAAGAAATTGAATAGTATACCAAGTGGGTAGTTGGAGGGCGCTCTGGTATGGTTTGCACCTTTTTTTCTTGTCAGAAGTCTATCGCACATATCTCTTCCCCTTGTTTTCTTTGTATCTTACTCTCTTGTAACACCTCTAATCTTCTGCACTTGTAAGACCTAATCGTATTGTAAGTACCATTAAAAACTAACTAAAACAAAACAAAAATCTTTAAAATGGCAGACTCAGAGGAACCACACTAGTGAGTAATAGTATGTTTCCATCTGAATATAGTTAAACCTGTCTTTACGGCCACCTGTCCAAGACAATCACCTGTTCAAACGACCACGCCCCCCCCCACGCACCCCCATTTTGCATGATAAATATTTTACTGTCACTGTCCAAGACATCTAACTATCTAAAACACTTTATCTCATCAATAATGAGTGATCGTATTGAACAATTTCAATTCTATTCTGCAAAACTTGGAAAGTGTCTTCATTCCACAACACTGCGTGCACGTTATGAAATAGCTGCTATATTTCTTTTAGGTGTAAGAAGGACTTTTTTAAAAAAATGATAGGGTGTCAACATTTTTCGTAGAGAACCCTGTCATATGAAGTCAGTTCGGTATTGCCGGACTTGAATGATAGTTGTCAGCGTTCTTGTGCAAGGTGAAGAAGGAGTTATGGAAAAATATGACATGGAAGTTGTTATGAGCTGACAATTCCAAATTGTTTTAGCGGGTGTACATCCACTGCTTGCATTGCATGATGCCTTTAATCTACGCATCCTATATGACCTATTGTGTTGCAAGTGCCGTAAAACTCTTACTTAAACAATAAAACAGGTGCATAAAACTTCGTCACGATGCATGAAAGAAATGAAAAAAAAAAACCCAAAACAATCTTCACCACAACCCTAGTGCCCCACTTGGCAAGAAAAAGCAGCCGTCAGTGGAAATACACGAAATCCAGGCCAACGGTCATGTGTGTACGTCATTCTAAGGTCCCACTTTCGCGCGCTTTCTTTTTTCTTCTTCCTTCCTCCACTCCGTGCCCCGAATCCTCCTCGCCTCGCTATTTTGCTTCTCACGATTGTTGGCAACGTGATTCTGTTGGTGGGAGGTCAAAATGTCCACTCACTGGTCAGCGTATGGGATGGACAAGCTTTTTTAACCATTTCATAGGCTGTAGCCAAAAATGTTTGTTACTTGTTTGTGAATATCATTATGGAGTGATATGCAGTCCAAGAGTGGGGAGGAGGAAGGCGGGGAGTCACGCTGCCCTTTACATCTGCTCCCTTACTCTTCAACAAATACCCCATTCCCAAATATCCTCTTCTTCATCCCACAAATACCCCCCTTTTTTCATTTAAAAAAACCCCGAAAAAACCCCAAACAAACACAAACGACAGAAAACAACCCCCCCCCCCAAATAAAAAGAGTAAAAAGCCAACAAAATCCTAACAACAAAAAAGAGAGAATAAAAAACAAAAAGCTAAATAATTTCTTTATTAGACGATGCGATGTTAAACGTATTTTTATTTTGTAGCTCACTGTGTATTAACATTCTGGAATACTTTAG